AGTGCTAGAACCATGATGTACTACTGATGAACTGAATCCAAACAAAGCTTTCTTATTTAAGTTCTTCTCAGGCGTTTTGTCATAGTAACAAGAAATGATGAATACAGCATTCTAGGAGAAAATGACTGCAAGACAGTAGAAAAAAGAAGGGACCAGAGACAGGGACACTTAAGGGTGGAAGGGCATGAAGGGGAATGGTCTTCATGGTATCTTGGGTCTACAGATTCAGCGGTACTCAGCAAGCTCTTTGAAGTGAGGAAAGAGTGAATATGATATGCTGTACTTTCTACATCCCTTTCTATAGCTCCTAATGGGTCTTCAGTATTTACCAACAAGTATATGCTTACCAAGGTCTTTGGAACCATTTCTCTAGAACTTTCCATGAAGTCCTACAGGAAAGCCTCCTAAAAGTAGAACTGACTTTGGTCGATGATCAGGCAAGCAATGTAAGACATTTAGCACTCTCAGATTTAGGATGCAAAAGTGATTTTGGGGATAAACACTGATACACAACAAACTTGTAGAGTGCTTCCATTAAGGATGTGTAGTTATTGTGCTAAAATAGACAAGACATAAAAGGTACCACTTAAGTCATCTCAAAGTAACCATTCTGTGGCGTGATTATCACTCTCCATCTCTAGAACCTTCCATCATCTCTGGTTGAAATTCTTTACTAATTGGAGAGTGACTCCTCCTTCCATCTACCACCCTTCAGCAGTCACTGTTCTTTTGTTTTTTTTGTTTGGAGAGATGTCTCACTGTGCAACTCAGGCTGACATAATGCTCACAATCCTCCTATCTCAGCTTGTCAAATAAAGGGATGACAGGCACGGGCCTGTCACCTTTCTGTTTCCTGTCTCTCTGAATTCAAATGCTCTTAGTAGCATGTATCAGTGGCATCATATGACATTTGTGCTTTTCCTTATGGCCTATTTCATTTGCAGTCAAGTAGCATTCATGTTCTAGTAAGTGTCAGGGCAGACTCCTGTTTAAGGAATGTATTGTATTGCATATAGAAACTACATTTGATTTGCCCACTATTGGTGGACATTTAGGTTACACACACACACACACACACACACACACACACACACACACACAGCACTTAGGCCATACTTATTATGTACACAGTCTAGGCATATGTAACTGTTGATTCTGGGTTTCTCCAGATCTACTTAGAGACTGATTCTATCTGAGTTAAGAACTCTGGTTCCATCTGACAGAGAAGGGTGCCTGGGGGAGACTCCACACAAGGAGGTAACTGTTCTCTCTCTAGGGTGGAGGCATGCTGGGAATGGGGTCCTGCTGTGGAATGAGTACCTTTCAAGGCAGGGCGCTGCTGGTTGCTGTTTTAAGCAGGGATACCATCCTTACAAAGATGACCAGGGACTACAAGGTTGTTAAGTGTGACTGAAGTACGGGTTGTACGTTCACAGCAGGCTGTGTGCTCACAGCAGGCTACGCCCTCGTGGAAATGGGTAAAATAAGGCGAGGACAACATTTAAGTGCTTTAATTCTCGAGATCACAGAAAACTGCTTGAAACCTAAAATAAAATGTATATTCTCTCCTCGTGCACAAAGAAGCTTAACATACACACTTACGTGCATATGGTTTTTGTGACATAAGCATATATCCATTTTTGATATCCATGTACAGAAACTTCCTGCTGTCAATGGTCCTTATAGCTTCCTGGTGTCTTCGTGGATATACCAGAGTCTATGTAACCAGTTCCTTGTGGTTGGGTGTTTGTCTGGTTTATCAGTCTGGTTCTTACAGGTAACACTGATGAGCAAATGTGCAGAACTATCACTTCCCTTGAATGAGAACATAATAAACTCCCCTATGCATACTTGACAGGTCAAAGCCTAAGTGCATCTGTAATTTTGATAGGTGGTGCTGACTTGCCCTTCACAAGAGTTATACCAGTCCGTAGTCCCCATCAGCACATCCGTGAGGCCTATTTGTGCAGTGCCTGGAGGTTCATCAAACTTTTGCATTTTTTTATTCTGTTTTGGTGGGTGAAAAATGGCACCATAAGATAACAGTGGTTTGGGATTTCTCATCAGAGTCAAACTGAGGTCTTGTATTTCCCACCTGAACTTTTTTGCCCACTTCCCCACTTCTAACTTGGTCTTGCCTTTTTTTTTTTTTTTTTTTTTTTTTTTTTTTTTTTTTTTTTTTTTTTGTATAAATTTTGAAGAAATCTTCATGGATTTTTATTGTTTTAAGCCTTTAAAAATATCAAGTATTGTTGAATTTTAGCAAGTACATTTTTGTCATAGTATCTGAAATAATAATATGATTTTTCTTAAACATAGTTGTTTATTTATTAGATCCTCCTGTAATTTCATCAAGTTTAAATTCCTGAAATAAAACCTTATTTGTGTTGTTCATCATTTTTAATGGTTTGATGCACACAGTTGCTAATATTTCATATTGACTTTTACATCAATATGCATAACACTGTTAAGCTTCACTTTTGTTCTTTTAATATTTGTGTCCAGTTTCTGCCAGCTTGTGCATATTATACCTGCCTCAATGAAAGATTTCTTGTAGCTGCTCTTTTCCTCTCTCTCTCTCTCTCTCTCTCTCTCTCTCTCTCTCCCCTTTTGATGCCTCAGAGAGTGCAAACATTTTTGAGTCTGGAAGGGATGAAAACCGGTGACACCCTGGTCTTAGACTTGCTTTGCACCTCTGACATAGATTCTTCTGCATCCCATAAAGAAACCTCTTGTGGCTTTCCAGTTTCCTAACTTGCTTCTTTTTCTTTAAGCTTGTGCTGGGGACAGAGCAGAGTACCTTCTTTGCCCATAGGCATGCAGAGCACCCCTACGCCTGAGACCAGCTCTAATTTATCAGTGACTCCTTCTACCCTCACTGATCTCTTACTCTTGTTTAATTTCTTACATTTTTAGCTAAGATGCCAGATTCAGCTCTTGTTTTGGTCACTTTTTATATGAGCATAAATTGTATGATCTTTTTGAGTGTATGGCTTTTTCTGTTTTTCAACTCAGTCTATCTTTTTTTGATAGACATTCTTACCATTGTTTTATTGATTTGGTTTTAGTTTTGGTTTTGGTTTTTCAAAACAGAGTTTCTCTGAGTATCCTTGGTTGTCCGGGTCCCACTTTGTAGACCAGGCTGGCCTCAAACTCGCAGAGATCTTCCTGCCTGTACCTTCCCAAGTGCTGGGATTAAAGGCACTACCACACCTGGCTTGAAAATTCTTAAAATTTAGATCGCTTTCTCTATCACCATAGCAGTACACATAGCAGTCATTCCAAAACTTCCAGATAGAAAAGGTCTTTTGATTTTTATTTCATGTACTTCTCTCTTCAGTATATTATATCTGGTTCTTAAAACAAAGAAGAAACCATGAATATGAAAGAAAGCAAGGGAAGTTTGGAAAGAGGAAGGAGAGTGGGGTAATGATGCAGTATATTATAATCTCAATTTTTTAAAGAAAATTGACTTTTTGTGTCTTTTTAAGCTTTTTAAAATTCTTTGACAAATTTATCCATGTATACACAATATTTTCATGCTACAGACTCTCAGCTCTCCTCCCAAGGCTCCTTTGTGTTTTTTAAAATAAAAAAAATGTATGGACGTTCCTTTGTGGTTTTAAAAAATATATTGGGGATTCTTTGTGACCCACAGTGTGGTCAATTTTTAATAAATGCTTTATGTAAAATTACAAGGAAAATAAATGATCTATTGCCAAGGTATATAATCTATGTGTCTTAGTATGGTCTGAACTATTTAGTTGTATAACCCGAATGTGCCAGGCTTTTTCTTCCTGTTCCCTCGGTGTCCAGGCCTGAGCAGTAGCTGCCTCCTGTTCTTGCTGTTGCTGACTATCCTTGAATCCTCAGTCCTTGAATCCTGCATTACCGATGGCGAATCAGCGAAGTGCAGGACTCCAAATTCTTACAACATCCCTGGAAGCCTCATCCTTACACCTTATGGCCAGGTACAGTGACACATGCCTGAAATCCCAGTACTTGGGAGGTAAGAGCAGAATGATAAGAGGTTCAAGGCCAACCTGAGCTATCTAGTAAGTTTGAGGGCAATATGGGCTACATGAGATAGATAGATAGATAGATAGATAGATAGATAGATAGATAGATAGAAAGGTAAAGAGAGATGGTAAAAACAATTTAAAAAAAGCTCCCTTTCCTTGTCTTCATCATGCTGCTTTTCTGAATTCTATCATATTAGGTATTGAGTGTTTAGTCTCCCACCCCTTTTCTTTCACCAATCTGGTGGGCCTTGCAATGGCCATGTGCACTCAGCTTCTCTGGGCAGCAGAGCCTTATGTATCTGTAGAGTTCAGGGTGACTTTACTTTGTGGGCTGAGAATCTTTCTCACAGAGCAAAGAGCCACTTGTGACACCATTTGTTCTTGTTCTGAAATGTCACTTTGTGATAGATTTTGCTTCTTTGTTTTGAGGTTTTGTTTACTTGTTTGTTTGTTTGAAACAGGACTTCATTATGTGGTCCCTGCAGGACTCGAACTCACAGAGTTCTGTCTACCTCTGCCTCCAGGATGCTGGGATATAAGGCAGGCAACCCCATGTCCACCCTTGCTTCTTTGTTTTGAAAGTCCTCTGCTCATGTCATCAACTTTATTTGCATCCATTCTCTCAATATATAAGAGAACTTGAATCCTGTGCTCATTGTAATTCCTCTAATTATAACTTTACATAGACTCTTCAGCACTTACTCCTTTACACTTTCTCTTCTTTCTTCCCCTCTGTGATTGACATTTCTTAGGCCTTCCTTTCTCAGTCCGTCTTTCCAATCACCTGATTTCAATTTGTCATTTTTGTATACCTCTCAGAGGGGTGTGTGTGTGTGTGGTGTGTGTGTGTGTGTGTGTGTTTGGGGGATGTCTTCTTACAGTTTGTATTGTTCTCATACCATTCCCATCCCTCCCATGTCCCCTCCAATTCCTTTTGTGCCCCCCTCAGATTTATGGACCTCTTCTTAATCATTGCTGTTACACATGTGAATAGATACAACCTGCTTCAGTCAGACCAAGCTTGATATTGCTGCCAAATTCTTTCCAGAAAGTATCATTGTATTTCTCATCAGCAAGCTTCTTGATCATGTCCAGAGTTTTTTGGACAAGCTTCTTTCTAATCACTTTGAACACTTTGTGTTGCTGAAGAGTCTCATGGGAAACACTGAGGGGTAGATCATTTGAATCCACCACACCTTTGACAAAATGAAGGTACTTGGGCATCATATCATGGAAGTCATCTGTGATGAATACTCGGTGCACATACAGCTTCCTATAATCGCTCTTTTTAGATCCATATTCATCAAACAGACCACGAGGAGCAGATGTGGGCACAAAGAAAATTGACTTGAAGGTAACTTCCCCTTCTGCAATAAAGTGGATCTAAGCCATGGGATCATCACTTTCCTTTGAAAATTATTCATAGAAAGCTTTGTATTCATCTTCTTCTACTTCTTTGGATGGTCTCTGCCATATTGGTTTGATATCCTTCATAAGATCCCAATCCCACACAGTTTTTTCAACTTTCTTAGTTTTTGGTTTCTTTTTTTCCTCCTCCTCTTCTACTGCAGCTTCATCATCAGATTCTTCCTTCTCTTCTTTTGCTGCTTCTTCCTCTTCCATGGGCTCCTCAACAGTCTCAGTCTTGCTACTCCACAAGTAGATGGGAAAGTTGATGAACTGAGAATACTTCCTGATGAGGTTTTTTAGTTATATCCAATTCAAGCTATCAGATGCTTCTTCTTTTAAGACCAGAGTAATCGTTGTCTCATGACCCAGCGTGTTTCCTCTGGGGTCAGCACTCACAGAGAATTCACTGGAGTCTGATTCCCAGACGTGCTGGGTATCATTGATGTGCTTTGATGTGACAATGACCTTATCTGCTACAAGGAAGGCAGGATGAAAACCGACACCAAACTGGCCCATCAGTTCAGAAGTTGACTGACCATCTTCTTGGGCCTCTGCCATTTTGTTTAAAAACTCCCTTGTTCCAGATTTGGCTATGGTACCAAGGTTTTTCCCCAACTCCTCTCTGGTCATTCCTACACCAGTGTCTGTTACATGAGGCAGATTTTTCTCTTTGTTGCACTTAATTTTCACTGTTAACCCTTCATTTCCAGCACCTGCATTCTAATCAGGTTAGTAAGAGGAGCCTTGTCTTGTCTGAAGCATCAGAAGCATTTGAGGTCAGTTCTCTCAGGAAAAACTCTTTATTTTTATACAGAGAGTTGGTGATAAGTTTCAGCATCCTGTTAACGTCAGCTTGGAAGGCAAACTTTTCTGATTTCTCTGTAAGTTCTCTTATCTGTGCTGCATTTAACCTATCCAACCGAATAGCTTCTTCCTCTATCTGCACGACTTCAAAGCTTCCTTTTCCCCTGCACTGTAAAATGTTGGGATTATGGGTCACAGGAAGAAGTGGTTTTTTTTATTTGAGGTTTTTTTTTTTTGCCTTTTTTTAAAAAAATTCCTCCTGAATGTAAATTTGTACTATTAAACTGACTATTGGTGTAAAATCTTGCATGTCTATAAAAATAAAAAATAAAAAGACCCCCCCTCAAAAGATACAATTTGCTGACTTTATTTAGTACTTGTATGCATATGTATTTAGGGCTGACCAGCTGGGATTAAATAACCTGTGGGGCCTTGTCTCTGGAGAACACTGATTCTTTCTCTCCTAGCAGCTACTAATTGCTTGAAGTTCTTCATCTATGGGTGACCTGTGATATTTCTCCAGTCCGTGTTGACATGTCAACTGGTGTTACTATGCAGGTCTTATTTGGGTAACAGTATTGTTGAGATTTCATGGGTACAGCTTCACTGTCTTATATAAGTCACAGGTTTCTGGTCCTTTGACTCTTACAACCTTTCCACCCTCTCTTCCATGATATTCTCTGAGTCTTAAGTGTAAGGGTTATGTTGTAGGTGTATTATTTGGGGTTTGGTACCCTGTGGCCAGTTGTTATTTCTGTTATGTTCTCTATCTACTGAAAAAGAAAAAGAAGTTTCTATGATGAGGAGTGAGAGGTACACTTATCTGTGGGTGTACAGATAAGCTTTTTAGGGTGGTGTTAGGAATTATACTGGTTTATCCAAGTGGCATTAGTGAGATCTCCTCTAGGGCCTATGCTCTCACAGCCATGGGATGTTGGCTAGGTTTACACACCAACCATGAGATCCCTTCTATTGAGCAGGCTTCTGCCTTGTGCGAGTTTAAGGGCGAAATGGTGATCTGGTTCATCATGCTGGGTCCTTTGGACATCCATTTTCAAGTAATTGGTGTTCTGAGGAAATTTGGAGCTCAGGGGATGAGGTAAGATATGAGAGGTAACATGAGGTAAGATGCGAGTCTCTGTGACTCACTTGCTTTATTCATCATCTCATAGGAGCCTGCTATGCACCATCTCATAGGCAGCATATAAATAGTAGGTCAAATTAAATGGGCTCAGGGGAGTACAGGTGGCAGTATTTACTTGTCAAGTCTTCATGATATCAAGCTTTGAATGTCCCTCCTGTATCTACAGTATGTTTCCTCCATTGCTTTGGGGGCCTGGTCATAATTTAAAGAAAAGAAAGATTATCTTATGGTATTTCCTAAGTGTCCTTAGGTAACCTGAGTCATTAGGAGCAAGACAACTTTCAACGTCTCATCTGAGAAATCAGGAGCCAGTGTCATTCTCTGGGTCACCTTGACTCCGTTTCTCAATGGCGATCAAAATCAACACAGTGACAGCAAACATCCACCAGCAGTTTAGAGATGAGCCTTCAGACAGTGTCTCTTTGTCCTCCTCCTTCTCTTCTTCCTTTTTATAAAGGAAATGGTGAAATAGACCTAAAAAAATAGAAACATTAAAAGGAGACCTGTCCAATTAAAATGGCCTTCATCTTTGAAGTACACTGTCTTTATGATGTCCCCAGTGACACGAGGTACACGGGGTAGTAATGGATGCTATAGGAAAGGTAAAAGTCCATTGATTGCCAGAAATAGTACTCGTTCACTGTGTGTGCATGTGCGGGCGTGCAAGTGTGAAAAACTGGCCAGAGAAGAAGAACGTGAAAGTAGTTTTAAACTCACATCACCTCGATATGTGGAAAGTGTTACCATAGATAATTCCACACTCTGCCTACTAATTATGCCTTTTAGTATTTCATTCCCACACAAGAAGGGGCAGACCATTGCCATGCCTTCTACACGCCTGGCTTAGAGAATTACACTAGCTGGTGTGATTAAATGAGTTAGAGGTGGAAACAGCTGAGAATGGCGTCTGAGACGTGTGAGGATAAGTTTTCTGGGACTGTGTGCTGCCTTTATCTTTGCAAACAAAATAATATTGCGGGGCACATACTACTGTTCAGAGAGACACAGGGTTACACATGTGTTCTCACCCCGCTTGTGAGCTGGACTGGATTGAAAGATGCCCGGGAGCTGAGTGAAACTCACTTCCGGGTGTGTACAAAGCCAGTTCTAGAGATGATGGGCGTGTGGGAGAGCAAGGTGGGGTGGGAAGAGCTTCCCTGGCTGTAGGCAGCACCACCAGAAAGACTGGGGGCCAAAGCGGAGTAAGAGTTGAAGGAGAAGGAAGCCACAGCAATTCCTAGTGAATGTGTCTGCCTTTGGCCCCATGGGAATGTCTCTGGCTTCATTAGCCTTTCAATGCAGGCTCACACCAAGGACCCTCCAAGTGGGCTTTGAGGCCTCTAACAACTGGCTCCCAATGGATATTTCCATTCTGTAGTTTTCAGCTTTTTAGACCAAGCAGGTTCTGGGTTCTCTTGTCTCTCTTGTGCACAGACACACACATAGTAGGCTCCTGAACCTCCAATCTTGTAAAGCATTATTCTAGCAAATCCCCTTTTTATAATTGCATACATGCACTCTAACACACCCACACAGCCAACTCTTGTCTTTAAAAGCCAGTCCTTATCTCTCTCTCTCTAACTGCAAAAGTCCACTTATGAAGGAATCAGAATATGAAGACCATTAAGGTATTTGGCCTTCAAGGTACCTTGGCCTCTACGTAATTCTCCTGTTTTCTTTTGCTTTGAGGAATGTCATGAGACCAGCTGCCAAATAAGAATTTGCAGCTCACCTTGGACTATCTCTGTGGCTATTTTGGGCAGTCACAGAACAGCCAATATCTATGGAGATGTTACTTTCAAGAGCTACTATCTATAGACTCTCTGTATGTTCAGGTGCAAACTACCTTCCTATCTCCATTTACTTCATCCTTGAACAGATGAATGGACTCTCCACCCAGAGACTACATCAGCATCTGCTTCCATTAATGTAAATGTCACCTTTACATGCAGGAGTATTGAGGATGAGGAGTTGAACCAAAGCCAAACAGAATCAGGCAATGTGTTTCTTCAGCTGCTTTCTGATGTCTGCAGCAAGAAGGAAGTGCTTAAAATGTATCTGTCAAGGTGTTTTTGATATAGTATACCAGAGAAAGCAGTACAAACTAGGTAAAAATAAAAAAAATAAAAAAATATAGTACTGACACAGCTAACTGGAAATCCAAACCTTAAGCCTCAGGTAAGGACAGACCCAGTATCTTAATGACTTTGTCTCAGTATGGGATGCTCTGTTTGCTTTCTATTGTTATGTAGCAAATTACCTAAAATACCCACGGCTCATAACACTAAAACCCTCCCATTATCTCACAGCCATGGGTGGATTGGGAATTTAGGAAAAATTAACTAGGGAAGTAAGGCTTAGGACCTTTCAGAAAGACACAGTAAGGATTCCAGATGGGGGCCTGGAAGCCAGCTCCATACACAAAGCATTTGGCTTACAGACTCAAAAATGTGAGTTTGATCTTCAGAACTCATGTTTTGTTTAAAGCTAAGAATTATGACCTTCACTTGTAGTCATGGCACTAGGACTGTGAAGATTGGCAGCTTTCTGGGCCTCAGAGGTCAGCCAGCTTAGCTTACTCAATGAGCTCCGAAAAGTAAGTTGGACAGCTCCTGAGGAATGGTGCCTAAGTGTCCTCTGGCTTTACACACACACACACACACACACACACACACACACACACACACACACACACAGACACACACACAGAGTTGGTTCTGAAGTGATCCAAAAGCTTGACTGAGACTGGAGAATGTGCTTTGTCTCAAGAAAGCAGCTGGCTTTCCCCAGAGCAAAGGATGCAAAATGGAAAGGGTGACAGGCAGGTGCTTACAGTTTTGTGGTCAAGGCTGAGAGTCTGGAGTGCCTGACTTTTAGCATCTCTGGAGCCAGTTATCCAGGCCATCACATTTAAGAAGACAGGAACAAGGAGCTCTTCTGAAAGCAGCCATATTAAAGCACAGGAGACTTAACTCAGAAACCACCAACATTTAACACTCAACATCTCATGTTCCACCATGGCTCCTGGTGCCTCTCATGCCCTCAGTTCCTCATGCATGCCTCACAGGAAAGTGCATATACCTTCCCAGTAGCATGGACAATTGAGGCCATGTGACCACAAACCATAGCCTCATGGCCAAGTGGATGTGATTGCTCTGATTATCTTAGGCCAGAGTCACATACTCTCCCACCAAAATGGAGATCAGATTTCTTAGAAGCATAAAGGCCACATGGGAAACCAGGGATGTTACTCTGGTTCTGCTATGTAGAGAAGGGGACAGGAAGGAGTCTTGGGTGACCTTAATCAACCTCTGTCCTTGTACCTGTCTGTGTGCATGCAGACTCATGCTCACATGCATATTCATGCTTACGTGTGCATAAACACTTGCGAGCACAGCTATGGCCTGAAAGGGAGCTGTAGTGATCAGTTTGTCAGGTAGACAATGTAACACAGTTCTGAACAGCTTAGTTACAGAAGCATGGCCTAAAAATCCCCCCAATGGCCAACTGCTTGTGTTTAACACACACTGCATCCTTTAACTTTAAGAAACAACCTCATCTATTGTAGTGGAGATGTATTACCCCCTGAGAAACACAAGAAGAAAGTCTTGACAGATGAGACACACACACGGAACAGATCCTTTCTTTCCACCAATATCCATCCACCTCCCCGACTGTTACGTCCTTACCCTGTGCAATGCAGGAAGAGCCTTGAAGGGAAGGACTTATATTTGCTTTATTTATTTTCAAATATGCTGAAGACAGTGTTGGGCTCACACTGGGTGCTCACTAGTCATGGATCTGATGTTAATGAGTGAATGAATTTTCTCTCTTCCCATTTGATGGTTGAATCATGGAATAATGTCGCTATGCTCACGGATATGAAGTGTGGCCAGGCAGGAGGAAATTTTAAAACAGTGTTAGGTACAAGTCTTCCAGTCGGAAGAGAAAGGGGTGTAACAATGTGTTTCTGAGCCACAGTATCTGAATCAGAAGGGCAGGAAAAATAGCTTGGATTTCATTTC